CTCCTATTTGATTTTTTTCCTTGTATTTTTCTTTCACCTCAGTCAGATTGTAGTTTCTCCAAGATGAGAACCATTTCTTATTGTGTGTCGGTTTTCTGCAGTATTTGACCAAGTGAATCTCAGGCTTTGCTGCCAGAACCTTAGTCTCAGCATCTAGAACACACTAAGTTACCAGGAGGGTAATGCCAGGATCTTTTGAATCATGATTTAAATCCAGTTGGCTTCGAAGGACTTACAGACCTCCTAGCAACCACCAATCTGTTTTCTGTTTGAGTTTGGGTTTTTTAGATTTCATAAATAAGTGAGATCATACAGTATTTGTCTTTCGTTGTCAGATGTATTTTACTTAGCATAAGTAAAAAGGACCATCCATGTTGTTGCAAATGACAGGATTTCCTTCTTTATTGCTGAATAATATTTCATTGTATTATGTGTGTGTGTTTGTTTTTTTAATCCATCCATTTGTTAATGAATACTTAGGTTGTTTTAATGTTTTGGCTATTGTAAATAAGAATGCATTGAACATTGGGGGGCAGGTGTGCAGATATCTTTTCAAGGTAGTGATTTCATTATCTTCAGATATATATCCAAAAGAAGAATTGCTGGAACATATGGTAGTCCTGTTTTTAATTCTTTGAGGAACCTTCATACTGTTTTCCATAGTGACTGTATCAGTTATATTCTCACCAACAGTGCACAAGTGCTCCCTTCATATCCCCACCAACACTTATTATTTTTGTCTTTTTGATGATAGCCATTCTAATAGGTTTGAGGTGATATCTCATTGTGGTTTTGATTTATATTATCCTGATGAAAACAAAACAAACCACTTATTATCTGTCTTTTGATTGTAGTCCTACTAAGTTGCATAATGGTATCTCACTGTGCTTTTGATTTGTATTTTCTTGGTCACTAATGAGACTGAGTGTAGCTTTCATGTGCTTATTGGCCAGTTGTATGTATTCTCTGGAGAAATGTCTATTCAGATTCTTCACCTATTTTTAAAGTGTTATCTTTTTATTATTAGTTTGTAAGGCTACTTTATGTATTCTTGATACAAGTCTCTCTTTAGATATGTGATTTGCAAATATTTTCTCACCTTCTATGGATTTTCTTTTTACCTTTGATAACATCCCTAGCAGGACAAGAGTTTAATTTGCTGAAGTCTGTTTATCTATATTTTATTTTTTTGTTTCTGCTTTTGGTGTCATATCTAAGAAGGTTTAGCTTAGCTCAAGGTAACAAAGATTTACTCCTATGTTTTCTTCTAAGAGTTTTATATTTTTAGCTCTTACAGGTCTGTGGCCCATCTTGAGTTAATTTTCGTAAATTGTGTAAGGAAGGAACTGAACCTTCTTCTTTTGCATGTGGATATTAGTTGTCATAGCACCACTGGTTGTAAGGACTGTTCTTTCCGCACTGGATTGCCTCGGCACCCTTGCTGAAAATCCACCTGTGATCGACGCTTGGGTTCGTTTCTGGAATCTGAATTGACTTATGTCTATCCTATGCCACCAGCATGCTGTTTTTATTACTCTAGCTTTGTAATAAGTTCTTTTTCAAGATTGTTTCACCTAGTCTGGGTCCCTTGCATTTCCATATGAATTTTAGGGTCAGCTTGTCAATTTCTTCAAACTGCCACCTGGGATTTCAACACATTATGTTGAATTTTTAGGTCCATTTGAGGAGTGTTGTCATTTTTCCAACATTAAGACCCATACTAATTTCTGTTTTACCAGGTATTCCTTTCTGACTCTTATAGTTTCAAATGTTTAGATGTCCATAGTTTTTACCTTTTTAACCAAAATTTAGCAGAGACCACTAGTCTCGGCAGTCATGTAGAAGAGGCCATTTATCATGCTTAGTGAAAGGTATTATTTTTAGTGCCTTTTAAGTCATAGTAGTATCTTAATGTTTTTGACTAATTCACTTTAATCAGTTTAAGGCCCCGCAGCAGCTATGAACAGAGATGATATAGCTGCTTGGAAGTCTTGTTTACCAGCTCAGCTGGAAAGGGAATGGAGACTCTTCCAGCCTCTTTTCAGACTTGTTTGAAGTTTTTTATTTTGTTTTGTTTTTCTTGGAGTTTCCAGTGGAGATGCCAAGCTGGCAGCAAATGCAGAATACTGTAATGTGAAGCCTCATAAATACACGTTGGATCCCTGCCATCATTATCAAAAGCCCTGGCACAGAAATGTGCAAAGGGGAGATTTTCAAATTACGGTTGGCCTGCATGTAGAAATGTTAGCTTGTAAAGCTCAAGAAGTACTAAATTGTACTCCATTAGCTCCTGCGTTTTACTGCCTTTTTGGAATAATCATGTGCTTCAGAGCACCCTTTAATCTGAGCTGGCTCGTGGTTGTATAAGAATGCAGCTTCTTTTGGCCTTGTGCTTTATGTACTCAGATGAGGAAAATTTACTGCATTTTAGAAATAAATCAGAGCTCAGAAGCAGATCTTCTTGCCACCTTTTTATCTGCATGGAGGCCCAGCTCTGAGGCATTTGAGTGATGCATTTATCCGCAGCCCCACAGCTGGTCCCACTGGGAAACTCATCTTCAAAGTCACTTTTTATTTTTTGCTTCTTACGGGACGCTATTCAGAACCATAAAAAGGAACACTGTGCTTATGTTAGTAAGGAGCAGATCTTCCTCTCTCTCAAACGCTGAGAGTCTTTACTTCCACTTCATGCCTTTGATAGAGATGAAAATGGATCCCTCATTAAAAGGAATATAATCTATTGAAATTAAGACAGATATTTTATTTATATTAAGACAGACAATTCCTAAATATTAGTGGAGCTCTATGTGTTTGCCATGGTTTAACTGGATAGAGCATTGATTTACATTGAGTGAGGCCTCCTTTGATATTTAGCTTTACTGCTGAATTAGCTCAGCCTTGTAATGGGACTAAAATTGCTTGGGAGAGTTCACACATTTCCCTGTGGCTGCTGTTTATACATATAGAATAATATTTTCTATTTGCAAATCAGGATAGAAGTTATCAATTAAAAGCAGCATGCCTTATTGCACAAGGCTTCATTTTAATGATATTTAAAAATATATATATATATTTAAATATGGTCTGTAATATGTGCCTGATTATAATTAAAGTTTATCCCTTTGACTTATGTGGTCATAAGTTATTTATAAAGTAAATGAACTAAACTTGGTAGGTAAGAATGAGATGACATAGAGAAAATATTGGTCTTATTAAACTGAAAGAGTTTAGCTAAATAGCTTCTGTGAATTATTGGACAAAAAAATGTAAAACAACTGACTTTCAATATTCAAAGAACAAAGTTGATATTTCAGCCATAAGTCATGCATTTTTAAAAACTATATTGGTAAAATTTTCTTTTGGCTAAGTGATGGGACATAACTTAAGACGATATGATATATAAAATTTTAAAGTTTTTATTGTTCAATATACTTTCTTACCTATTTATAGACAGACTGAACAATCAAAAGTAGATCTTTGAAAAATTATAATCCCAATTGTGAAATAGTCCTCCCAACTGCTTTTAGGAGGCCCCCAAATGAGAGAGTAACAGGGCGGACTAGACTCTAC